CCCTAACCCTAACGCTTAACCTAACTCTAACCCTAACCCTTAACCTAACCCTAACCCTAACCCTTACCTTAACGTGAATCGGCTTGCTTTCAAAGCGCTTTTTAAAGCGGCCTTTTTTCTCCGCGGTCGCTGTTGTCGCGCTGCTGATGACGTCAGCGACGCGCTTTAATCGGGCGCGCTTTAGTGGACCGCGGTTTTGTCGTGCCACGGAAGTCCACAAATTGTAACATTGCCACAAGGTGCGCATGAATGACTCCCCTTGCAGCTCCATAGATGGAATTCGAGCATCTTTTCCTTTCTCCCTCTCGCCCAGTTCCCCTGGATCCTGCAAGATTACGTCTCGGAGACCCTGGATCTCAACAACCCTGCCGTTTTCCGGGATCTCTCCAAGCCCATTGGAGTGGCCAATGAGAAACACGCCAAGGATGTCAAAGAGAAGTGAGTGCGGGGTGTCGCTGTGAGCATTTTCTACGCAAAGGTGGGAGGAGCTGCAGGTTGACCTTTCATTTAGAAGTCGTTCGAAGTTATGGTGACACGTGATGTACGACAGCTCCTCATACATATAACCGTCGTAGCATCCCCACAGTCGAGGGATCAAAATTCAGGCACGTCACAGGTTCCCACAGGTCACGTGATCACCATTTGTGACCTTCCCAGCTGGCATCCCAACAAGCAAAGTCAAGGGGAAAACTCATATTCACTTAACAACTGTAGCGGTTCGCTTAGCAACCATGGCAAAGGAGGTTGTAAAACTGGGTGCGATTGGCTTAACTTGCTTAGCAACACAAATTCTCGTCCCTACCTGTCATTCTTTAAAAACCGTGTTTGGTTGAGTCGGGCCTTCCCATCTGGAGCCCTGCAATCCCACCTGGAACTTCACTTCCCAGAATCCCTTGCTATTGGAAGTACCGTATTTTTCGGAGTATAAGACGCACCTTTTTTCCTCAAAAAAGAGGCTGAAATCTGGATGCGTCTTATACACTGAATACAGCATTTTTTTTGCCTCCAGAAACCCCGCCCCTTCACCAAAATGGCCATGCAAAGTTTTTAGAAGACTTTCAGAAAGCTCCTGGGGTCTGGGGAGGGCAGAAATAAGCAAAAAAACGGCCTGTTTTTTGGGGGGGGCCCCCAGCCCCACTTTATAAGCTTCCTAAAGGCTATCCATGCCCATTTTTTTGACAAAAAAGGGGCCCGTTTTTGTGAAAAATGGATCTTTTCTTCTCGTTTTTGCCCACCACACCCCCCAGGAACAAGCCTCCTAAGGGCTATTCATGCCCTTTTTAAAAGGGGGGGCTCGTTTTTGCGAAAAACGGGCCGTTTTGGGTAGGTTTGCAAAGTGCAAAAACCTTTCTTTTTATTTTCCTCTTCAAAACCTTGCTGCGTCTTATACTCCAGTGCATCTTATACTCCAGTGCGTCTTATACTCCGAAAATTGTGGTACTTTTGCTGGGCGCTTCTAATAAAGGATTCGGTGATTAAGTACAGAGGGTTGGCTGTGTTTTGGGAGCTGGGTCAGAACAACGACCCAGTTATGGTTGCTGCGGCATCCTTACAGTCCTTGTGATCAATTGCAAGGGTACTGCAGCGGTACCCCCTGTCTGTCACTCCCATCCTGCCCCCCCCCCCGGGTCCCTGTATTGGGGATCCAATAGCGATCGCCATGCTGTGGGAAACAGAGCATTGGCTGCCGGCGGGATTGAGGGAGTTCTTGGGAGTCCAATAAGCCTGTGCTAGACCTCCCTGAGGCACCCCCTGAATTGCACTTAACGACCCAAGCAGTCACTTAACAACAGCATCAGGGGGGAGATGAGTTTGGGATCATTCAGCAAGGTGAGGAAGATTCTGGGACTGAAGAAGCTGGGACCCATTTGCCAGGGCGAACAGCTAGGGTCTTTTCAGCAAGGGAGAATCGGTAGGGGTTAATGATGCCTGGGGGCAAACAAGGGGCTGCGAAGGGTACGAGGGTATGAGGCGAACAGTCCTAGACCCCTATTGTGAGCAGAGGAGTGGAGCACGCTTCTCGTGAACTATCTCTGGACTCTCTCAATTGTGTTAATGTCCGACATACAGTGTGGGTTCCAGGCAGACAAGCTGTATTCGAGAATTGGTCCTGCAAAGGTTTTGTATGCCCTAATTTGCAGTACAATGTTACTGGAGAAGGAGCTTCGCAAAATTAGGTTAACAACTCTTAATGCCTTTTTTGGTAATGTTGTTCCAGTGAGCTCTGGGGCTTAAGACTGTTTGAGATGAGTACTCCAAGGTCCTTGACAGAGTGCGGATCGTCTACGAGGTCATTTCTGCCCAACTTGTGGTGGTCTTATATATGTGGTGGTCTTAGGAATGTCGTTCCCCCTCGACAGTTGTCAGACTTCACCTTGGAACAAGTTGTGTCTCCTGGGTGATTCCTTTGGGTCTTCATTCCACCTCGTAAGGGGAGGGAATCCACACAATGGATTTGCAGAGCAGATCCTCGGTTCTGATCAAGAGATCCAGCTCACTGCATCCTTCGCCTCGGCTCCTCCTGATCTTGCTGTGTCCTCACCCCATCACTTCAGGTACGAGAGCTTCGAGGACCCCACAGGGATGATTGACAAGTTCCACTATGGCACCCACTACTCCAACGCAGCCGGCGTCATGCACTACCTGATCCGTACGGAGCCCTTCACCACGCTGCATATCCAGCTGCAGAGCGGGAGGTGAGCTGGAACGCGACCCTGGACCGTTGATCCGCGACGTGACAGTGTCCCTGTTTCGCCCCAAACCCCAATAATATCCAGATTTCACCCTACCTAGCCAAAGTTTGACTGGGGAGTGGGGTTAAAGTCCCACAATGAATTTGGCTTGGTTGTTTTGTTGTCGTGAGATCAGCCTGACATCATGCTCNCCTAACCCTAACGCTTAACGTAACCCTAAACCTAACGCTTAACGTAACCCTAAACCTAACCCTTAACCTAACCCTAACCCTAAACCTAAACATAACCCTTACCTTTACGTGAATCGGCTTGCTTTAAAATCGCTTTTTAAAATCTCCGCGGTCGTATTTGTCGCACTGCTGATGACGTCAGGTACGCGCTTTAATCGGGCGCGCTTTAGTGGACCGCGGTTTTGTCGTGCCACGGGCCATGCCCACCCAGTCACATGGCTGCCAAGCCACTCCCACCCAGTCACATGACCACTGAGCCACTCCCACAAAACAGGGCCACACCTACAGAATAGGTTCTAAAAAAAATTTTGAAACCCACCACTGCTATGGAGCCTAGCCAGCAGCGAGGCAGAGGAACGGCTGGAGCCTGTTCCCAGTGTGTGCATGCGCAGAGCCGCCAGAAGAAAAGAGCGACCAAGGGTAGGCTTGGGAGTAAAGATCGGCCCCCTGCCACAGGAAATAAAAAAGGAAAGAAAAGGGGAGTGGGCTTTCGCAGGAAACAATTCAGTTGGCCGGTCCTTAAGATTCCTTTCAGGAGTGTGAAGATCTCAAGAGACTCTGTGCCAAAGTCTTTCCTTGCACAGCGCCTCATTTGGGAAATATTTACATGGCGGCTTTCCAAAACAGATGAGGTCTGTGTCCATAATTACTCCTTTGAAAGACTGTTTGCCAGTCCTCGCGGAATGTGAATGAGAGGAATTCATATTTGTTTAATAAAAGGGGGTTTTGTCAGGGCCAGAACTCTGCTTCGTGCTTTTTGGGGAAGCCTAGGTCAGAACAGGGACTTCTGGAGCGCCCCCCCAACATGTGAATCCCAAGGTCTCCAACCTTGGCATCTTTATGACTTGTGGACTTCAACTCCCAGAATTCCTCAGCCCGAGCATGCTCGGGCTGAGGAATTCTGGGAGTTGAAGTCCATGGTTCNATGATGATGATGATGTTCCATAGTTGGGTCCTGAGATGTCTGCAAGGAAACCCCCAAGCTCAGAGAGCACCCAGAGCCCTGCACTCCCCATAGATCTTCGGGCAAAGTCCTCTCCTGGGTCCCTCTCCACCTAGAAACAGGGAGATGCTCCACTTTAGGACTTCACCGTCCCTTGGCCTTTCCTGGCTCTGCTGACGGTTCCCGCTGAAGCTCGGTGGGAATCCGGAGGCCGCAGAGGTCAACCCGCTGGATTCTAACCCTCTGTCCCTTCCAGCCTGGAACCCAAAGAGCAAAGCCAGCGAGAGAAACTGCTCATCTCGGAGGATTGCGAACTCATCACCGTCGTGGCCGTGATCCCGGGGCGCCTGGAGGTCACCAACCAACAGATCTATTTTTACGACAGCAACAGCGAGAAGGAGGAGACCGAGGACGGTAAGTGGGTTCCACCGGATGCGAGAACGGCCTTGGGAGAGAGAAGGAAGTCCTTGACTTATGAAACCCGTTGAGCCCAGAGTTGTAAGAGTGAAGAACAATTGTAATTCCCTCTTTTCAGTGCTGTTGTAACTTCAAACGGTCGCTAAGTGAGTAATTGCATGTCGAGGACTATTGTGTATTGACACTAACAATGACTTGAAAATTAACACAGGGGTGAAGGAAGGGAGATTCATTTCATGGGTGGAGTTTCTCCCCTCCAGCATGTGGTGTGGAGGCCATTCCTTTAATGGCCAATCCAATTTACAACACCCTGATCGTTTTTCACACTTACGACCATTGTATCCTCCCCCTGATCACCAATTGAGACACATGGTAACTTGGACTCGTACTTGTGACGGTTGCAGCAGCGTCCCGGGGCCATGCGATTTCCACCTTTGACAACTTTCTGCCGAGAAAACTCAGTAGGGTTTCACTTAACGACCGTGCGACTAACTTATCAACTGCAACAATTTGCTTGCAGCAAGAAAAGTCGTACAATGGGGGTGAAAAAAACTGTCTCGCTTAGCAACTAAAATTTGGGATTCTATTGTGGTCGTAAGTCAAGGACTACCTGTATATGGGATGGTAGCAACACCCTCCCTATTGTCCCTGGGTGGGGGTGGGGGTGTGTGAAGTCCCTTCCTTTCCCCCCCTTTGAGTCCCTGAGAAATGAACACACGGGGGGTTTTCTGCGCCCACTTCTAGGTATCGGACACGACTTCAAGCGTCCACTCGGACAGCTCCGGGAGCTGCACCTGCGGCGTTACAACCTGCACCGTTCGGCCCTGGAGTTCTTCTTCATCGATCAGGCGAATTATTTCCTCAACTTCAAGAAAACGGTAACGGAAAGTTCCTTCCCTCATGAAACAGGGGACAACTGGGGGAAGGCGCCATCTTGGAAACAGAGGGAGCCCCTTTGGTCTAGTGGTTAAGGCACCGGGGGTAGAAAATGCGGAACAGTGAATTCTAGCCCTGCCTTAGCTGTGAAAGCCAGCTGGGTGACTTTGGGCTGATCACCAGGCGACTGGGAATTCTAGTCCCCCGTTAGCTGTGAAAGCTAGCTGGGTGACTTTGGGCCAGTCAGCAGGTGACAGGGAGTTGTAGTCCTGCCTTACTCATGAAAGCCGCCTGGGTGATTCCCTCTTTCTCAGCGCTTGCTAGCTCTCACGTTTTTTTTTTTTCATGGGGAAAATAGGAGGATATGTTCACCGCCTTGAGTTAATTATAAAAATAATACAGGCAGGATAGAAATAGGCAACAAGGAAATAATAAAATTAAAAGAATAAAATAAAATAAAAATCAAATTAAAGTATTAAACTAAACTTTAAAAATTAAACTAAAGTTTAAAAAATCACATACTATTAGATTATTAGATGATTATTAGATGATAAGATTATTAGATGATTAAATAATTAGATTATTAAATGATTAGATGATGATTAGATAATTAGATGATTAGATGATTAAATGATTAGATGATATGATGATTAGATGATTAGATTATTAAATGATTAGATTATTAAATGATTAGATTATTAAATGATTAGATGATTAGATGATTAAATGATTAGATTATTAAATGATTAAATGATTAGATGATGATTGTATGATTATATGATTATATGATTGAATGATTAGATGATTAGATGATTAGATGATGATTAGATTACTAGATTACTAGATTATTAAATGATTAGATGATGATTAGATGATGATTAGATGATGATTAGATTACTAGATTATTAGATTATTAGATTATTAGATTATTAGATTATTAGATTATTAGATTATTAGATGATGATTAGATTATTAGATTATTAGATTATTAGATTATTAGATTATTAGATTAGATTATTAGATGATTAGATTATTAGATTATTAGATTATTAGATTATTAGATTATTAGATTATTAGATTATTAGATTATTAGATTATTAGATTAGGTGATGATTAGATTAGGTGATGATTAGATGATGATTAGATTATTAGACTATTAGACTATTAGATTATATATAAAATCTGCCTGAAGTTTGCTTAATCCCCCACTGGCTCCCTTCCTTCCTTCCTCACAGGGGAGGAACAAGGTCTATTTCACCATCCTCAGCTTGCAGCTTCCCAACCAGATTTATCAAGGCAGCCGCTCCCCACAGGACCTCCTCAAGGCCTCCGGACTGACTCAGGTACCCGTCTGTTCCGTGGACAAAGAAACCCCGCTTTTCTGGAACATTCCTCCTGCAGGGGATCCCGTCTGATCCAAGAACCCTTGCATTGCCCCACAAATTCCTTTCATCCCCTCTACGCAGGTAGTCCTCGATTTTGGGCCATTCATTTAGCGACCATTCGAAGTCACAGGAGCACTGAAAAAGGTCACTTAAGACCAGTCCTTGCACTTACGACCATTGCTGCATCCCACAGTCAAGCGGTCAGAATTCAGGCATTTGACAACTGGTGTGTATTTTCCAACAATTGCAATGTCCTTGGGGGGGTCACACAATCAGCCGATCACTGCTGGTGATTTTCCGAGAAGCAGAATCAGTGAGAATCCAGATTCGCTTAACGACTGCATCATTCTCTCAAGAACTTCAGGAATTCACTTAGCAAACTTGGCCAAAAAAGCTGAGATAAAGTAGGCGTGACTCGTACAACATCCGCCTTGCTTAGCAGTGGAAATTCTGTTCTCGGTTATGGTCGTATGTCAAGGACTGTGTTAAAAATTTCCTGATATCGTGGGACGTTGTCCCTTTTTTTCAGTGCTGTTTTAACTTCGAACGGTCATTAAATGAATGGCTGTAAGTCAAGGATTATCCGTCTCCAGGCCCAGCTATGCTACCTCCAGCTTCAGCCATGGGACAAAGTGTTTCTATTCTATTCTGCTTCCCTGTTGGTTTACCATCTTTGGAACCTTCACTTTCTTTTTCTCCTTCGTGCGGCAAGACAGACAGTCCCAAGATTGAAAAGTCTGGAGGGTCTATCTCACCCCTCCTCATTTTTTTCCGCTCTTCCTGTGTACACCCGTGGTATTGATCTCAGTGGATCCCTTTTGTTTTCCTCCGACCCAGAAATGGGTCACTAGGGAAATCTCCAACTTTGAATACCTCATGCAGCTGAACACAATTGCGGGACGCACCTATAATGACCTTTCTCAATATCCCGTGGTAAGACCCTGGAATAAAAGGGGGTTGGGGCATAGATACGGGGAGGGGGGGGTCTGTTGTGGCCTATAAGTGGCCGGTGGAGCTGGCAGCAGAGTCGGGCAGTGAGGGGGTTGTGGAGGGGCACGGGCCAATCCTGGAGGCTGGGGAAGGCTCGGACGAGGGCTCTGCATCAGAGGCAGAGAGAGGGGCGCGGCCTGCCTGACAGTGATCAGCCAGTACACATAGGTACAGGCATACTGGCGGTGAAATTTAGCGTGCCTTCCCTTACCCCTTCTTCCGGAGGCCCCGTACTGGAACGCTGCCTCCCCCTGGCCTGTCCTACTGCCCCANGAAGAGGAGGAGGAGAGAGAGAGCTGTGGGGTACTTGGTGCTCTCTGAGCTTGGTGGTTTTCTTGCAGATATTTCATGACCAAATTAGGTAACATCACCAGGGCTAGAGGGGAGGGTGGAAAGGAGAAGGAGGAAGAGGAAGAAGAGGAGGAGGAGAGAGAGAACTGTGGGGTCCTTGATGCTTTTTGAGCTTGGTGGTTTTCTTGCAGATATTTCATGACCGAACTAGGTAACATCACCAGGGCTAGAGGGGAGGGTGGAAAGGAGAAGGAGGAAGAGGAAGAAGAGGAGGAGGAGAGAGAGAGAACTGTGGGGTCCTTGATGCTTTTTGAGCTGGGTGGTTTTCTTGCAGATATTTCATGACTCAACTAGGTAACATCATCAGGGCTAGAGGGGAGGGTGGAAAGGAGGAGAAAGACTGTGGGATCCTTGGTATTCTATGAACATGATTGGTTCTTGTAGATGTTTCATAATATGAATTGTCATATGTCATATGTGAGATGCACCACCAGTGCATCTCAGCTACAGAAATTCTCTTCTAGCTACATAGTACTCAAACTCTGCTGTTTGCAACCTTCAGCTTGGCAAAATTATAGGTCAATATTTTTTGAATCAGTGCATCACAAACAGGCTAAATTACAGAATGCATCTAAAATCCAGAATTCTTGAGTCCCATAGGATGGAAATTTGGCAAAGTTATGACTGCTTTATGCCGCTGCACGCTGTTGTGCTGCCACAGTCACACAGTTGCCATGTCCAGCGTTCCGGCCAACTTCCTACAGGGAAAGTGATTGGGGAAGCCTGCAGGAAGTCAAAAGCCATTGTTCCTTATGTTTTTTTCTTTAGACAGGGAAGTATCTCTGAAATGATGACACAACCGGACGTGTGTTGTCTAGTTATCTCTAAATTTCAGGGTTTTAAATATAAAGGAGCCGAGGTGGCGCAGTGGGTAGAGTGCAGNTATGCTGACTCTGTAAACCGCTTAGAGAGGGCTGAAAGCCCTATGAAGCGGTATATAAGTCTAACTGTTGCTATTGCTATCAGTTCCCTTCCTACACCAAGGTTGAGATATGAAGCGGTATATGTCAAATAAATAAATAAAAATAAAAAATAAAATAAAAAAAATAAAATAAATAAAATAAATAAAATAAATAAAATAAATAAAATAAATAAAATAAATAAAATAAATAAATAAATAAATAAATAAATAAATATTTTGTGGCTGGAAAGCCTCCTGCGCCAACCCGGAAGCCAAAACTGGGTGGGTGGGGCAGGGCACACGGGTGGATTGTCGTGCATGCATTGCATTATGTGTGCGGGTGCCCCCGTGTGCTTTTTTCACACAACGACAGCAAAGGTTCTCCGTCACCGGTCTGAAGAACTACAGGCAGTCTTCGACTTACAACAGTTTGTTCAGCGACTCTTCAAAGTTACAACATTGAAAAAAAAAAATGATTTAAGAGCACTTACGAACCATCACAATGGGATCTTGTGATCCAAATTCAGGTGCTTGGCCACTGACTCGTATTTATGACGGCTGCAGTGTCCCGGGGTCATGTGATCCCCTTTTGTGACCTTCTTCTGACAAAGTCAACGAAGGGAAGCCAGATTCACTTAGCAGCCACATGACTAACATAACAGCGGCGGTAATTCCCTTAACGACGGGGGCAGGAAAGATTGTAAAATGGGGCAAAATTCACTCAACAACTGTCTTGTGTAGCAACAGAAATTTTGGGCTCAATTGTGGCAAGTCAAGGATTGTCTACACGTATTTACAAAATACATATTTATATTACACAGTAATATATTTACACAGTTATTTATATATCTTATATTATCTATATTTGCACCTGGAGTTTGTCCTCTTTCAATTCCAGCCAGCAAGCACTTTTTTTTTCTTGTCTTGAAAATGTTGCAACCTTCCTCTTTCTTCTCTTTCACAGGTTTCGATCTCGGCTCCCTTCAGATATCGAATGAGAAAGTGGGGGATGTGGTCCTTCCCAAATGGGCCAATTCCCCAGAAGACTTTATCCACAAACACCGGCAGGCACTGGTATGTAAAATGAAGTGTTGGCTGTTAAATGGGGTTCCTAGGAAGGTTGTCCCATCTTAAACTTTGCAATTCACCTGTTAAATCTCCGAGCAAATGTAGAATTATGGGGTCCCTGGTGCTCTCTGAGCTTGGTGGTTTTCTTGCAGCTGTTTCGTGACCGAACTAGGTAACATCATCAGGGCTAGAGGGGAGGGTGGAAAGGAGAAGGAGGAAGAGGAAGAAGAGGAGGAGGAGAGAGAGAGAGCTGTGGGGTCCTTGGTGCTTTCTGAGCTTGATGGTTTTCTTGCAGCTGTTTCGTGACCAAACTAGGTAACATCATCAGGGCTAGAGGGGAGGGTGGAAAGGAGAAGGAGGAAGAGGAAGAAGAGGAGGAGGAGAGAGAGAGAGCTGTGGGGTCCTTGGTGCTTTCTGAGCTTGATG